CTAACTCTGCCATGATTAGTTCTTTACATGAGGAAGTCTAATGTGGAAGAGGAAGAGAGAGGGGTGAAGTGTTAGGGGAGTGAGGGGCTGCCTCTCTCTTGCTATTGTTTGGACACAGTTCCTCTCATGCTGCATTGACCACAGACAGGGCGTGGCTGCGGGAGGCCAGGCAGGGAATATGAGGAGGGGAGGGGGAGAGGTATTCGGGTGGTGATGGATACAGGGGGAAGGTTAGAGCACATTGCATACTTTCCCTGCATGTGGACAGCGGACAGGAAGGCGGGTGGTCCCCTGTGAGCGTTACAGTGAGAGAAAGAGAAAGAGCTGGAGTGGGTGGGATTCTGCCCCAGTAGTTTGGCGCTCTGTTCCCAGCCCTACTCATGTGCGCGATGAAGTAATGAGAGACTCGGGGCCTCTGACAAACTCAGGCCAGATGGGGAGAGGATTCTTACCCACAATTACTCTGCAGCAAAGAGCATTAGCGTGCAGCTTCTCCTCTACTGAGAAAAGATAATCACTAGTTCTCTTAGGAGAACTCTTAATCAACACGTTTTTTTCGCATACTGTACAATTTGGAGAATGTCTCAAAGCCTTAAGCTGTGGTATCTCTCTCTTCTGCTGAATTACATATACTGCCATGCTCTCCATAGCACCTTTAATAGGGTTGCAGAGTTGCAGGAAGTACTTTTAAACCAATCTGAATTCTCATTTTAATGTTTACTTTAAGGTTATTTCAATGTAAAAACAAATAAGGACACAACTGGAGGGCATTTTACTTCCTAAACTGTTTTAAATGTTGTTTTAGTCACACTTAACAAACAATACTGCTTAGAGAGTCATGTCTTTTGCAAATAATAAGGATACATCCAAGGCACTTTTAGTCCTGATTACCATAAAAAGCACTTCATATTTAATAGCACTAACACTTGATACCATAGCAACGCTGAGTTTCCTAAATGAATTTAAAATAGCATAATGGCTGACCTATCAGTGTTAATTGTTTACATTTGTTTATCAGAATACAAGAATAATAATGAACCTCTGCCACTGCCACGATGGAGAGGAAGCCGAGCAAGAAACACAACTGTAACAAATAAAATAAATAACAAACACACACACAACTATGAGTGTTTCATTAGGTCTCTAAAAAGTACAATCTTTAGCTTCCACGCGCACATAAGAGATGTATTTAATCTTACTTTGTTTTATATTGTGTACCTTTAGCTTTCTATCAGTAAACTAGATATTTTAAAACACAGGTGCTCATCTTTTGTTTCATCCCCTTTCAAGGCCAGGAAACGCTCCGAATGCAAGTCACCAAACATTGTCTATTCCGAAGATTAAATGTATTCAGATAATCCTGAACATCCAAAATAACTCCTTTCACTTTGTAAAGCTGTGGTCCTAGCCCTGAGCCCCTTGTTTTACCTTGACTGTGACTGACCCTGATGCTCAGGGACAAGTGAAACTGTGTCATCCATACTCCCCAAGCTGCATGAGTCACCAACGTCTGCTTGTGTTTTAGAAAGGTTTATGGATTAGTATTGGCGGATTCCCATGAGTGTGTGATGAGCCCTTTCTCACCGACAGACCAAGAGTATGTGAGTATAAATAATGTAATATTCCATAAGCAGACATTGATTTTAGAGGACAACATTTTTGCATACAGACTCTGTTCCCTGAGACAAATTAAGTGCAAGCTGGATATGTTTCCACCACAAGACGGACAATAGATATGGCAGCAATGCAGTCGATGCTGAAACATCTGCGTTGTTTGGGAACGTTAAACACAGCCTTTAAATCAATGTGATGGATTAAGAGGAAGGACCAATAATAAGAGGTGTGTCATCACCCCGACAATGAATACATTACTGTCAACGGCTTGAATAAACAGAGGCAGGTCGTTCAGCCAGCTTTCCATTGACTCTAATATACTCGAAAAAGAAGACATTAAACAAACACCCTTTTGTAAAACGATATATGCTTTGAGATATTACACAAAATGTACAAAAGCAAGTTAAATCCTGATGCAGTGTATAGAGAAAGGAGCATTGACTGTATATAAAGGTGATTTAATCTCTTGTTTCTCATGATTACAGACCGAAGGCCAAAGGGAACAGCAGGCTGAAGTGTTGTGTTTACAAAGACGTTAGTGAAGCTCCAGAGGGAAACTGCAAAAATCCTGACATTTTGGCACAACATAATATATTTAGCAGGAAGTCAGTTCATGCATATTAAACAAAACAGGTCTGTGGTGGCTGCTTTGATCCTGCACAGGGCAGAGCCAACGTTTGGACCAACAAACAGCCTCGCCTTGAGAGGGATGCACACCTAAAGAACATTTCATCTCCCTAAGCCACTGGACGCTGACGCTGGCTCATCTGACACCACACTGCCTAACCCGGCCGACAGATCTCTCAGAATCATCTTAAACTTTAAGAAAACATCCTTAAGCTAAGCGGTTCCTCGGATCATCCCTCTTTATATGCAGGCGAGGTGAGAGCTATGTGTGACTTTGGCGGAGAGGAGGATGGCGGAGGGCTGAGTGGCTGTGTTTGGTTAAATCAATCACCTGACTGCTGGCCTGGCCTCTGGGAACAGGAAGTATGACATCACTGACATTCAGGAATGTGGGAATGTCAGGCTGCATGTTAACAGTGCCGGAGCAGAGAGCGAACCGGACGGAAACGACAGATAACTCACTGCAGCTGAGTTATTCCAACTCTAAAGACTGAAGGCCAAGTTTAGCCCTGTGGTGTAAAAAGGCTACCCCTCATCTGAATGGGACCACTCTGTTGACCCATTGTCATCCAGCACGTCAATTAACCTGGCTTTGCTATAGCTGAAGTGAAATAAAGGCTAATGCATCGGCCAATCAAATGCATGCAGATGGACATTCCTAATAGTTTACTTGGTAATATGTCTACTTAATCCTCCTGAGGTTTACATCTCTCTTTATAAACGGTTTAATATTTGGGCATATATTAACCCTTTAAACACATCAATCTATCACTCAACAAGTATTTTCTCAATATTACTTACTAACACAACCCCAACAACCATTATTCTGCGGTTTCTTCCTCAGGCCAACAGATAGAGAAAAACTACTTGTGAGTTTTGTTATATACTCACTTAAAAAAAGCATAGACCACAACTGTGCTGCAGGATGCCTTGTCTGTGGACTATGTGTGTACCTAGAGGATTACAAGTATATTCTCTAGTCAGCAGAGTCAGCCCTGCTCCATTCTTGATTATGTACATTGAACACTTCCTGTTGCATACAAAATGCACCCCTCATGATGGTTGCTTTTGTTGATGAGGGCTCAAGAGAAAAAGCAGCAACAACAACGACATTCTTTTTCTCTCCAATAACTTTCAGCTATTGTTGTTGTGGTTTGTTCCCTGTGTGCTGCTGACCTTACACCACATCCTGATTAACTGCCCCCACTCTTCATGTGCTTAAAGGGGTGTAAAATCGAATAGTTTTTCAATCCCATAAACTTGGGGGACTGCAAGACACAATAGAGAAAGAATGCCCAATAACAAAGTCGTAAAGACACACATGGAATTAACCCAAAGATCACTGTGTCGTTCACTCCCCATAACGGCAAAATGCATTCCTAAGATGACTAATTGTAAAATCAGTGCAGTTCATTTGTATTTGCATCTTGAAGACACATTAATGTTATACATTTTGAGAATGTGAAAAAAGCAAGACTGAGGAAACGCAGGATACACACACACGCATGCTTGGTGTAGCATAAAAACAACCACAACAACACTCTAAAACCTAATTTCACACAGATCAGCTTTTAGGGCCAGCAGCAGATATGAGGAGTCACCTGCTGCTAAACTACATATGCCCGACACAGGGAAGCATTTAATGGACAGTGACAGCCAGCTGCCTGGCAGGGTACGATCTCAATAACCTCCAGGCTGCATCACGTATCCGAGTCAAATACAGAGCACAGACACCCGGAGGCCAAAGACTAGCAACGTGAGGTCTTTTTTATTCAGTTGCCTCTTCTATACTTCCGAAAGCCAAACTTTATGTTCAAGCAGCCAAAGAAAAGATAAATCTGCATCCCATCCCTCAGTGTATTCTGTTGGTAGCGTTAGTCTCTACTCAATATATTGATTTGATCAGAAAAAGGGTAAAAGGCAAACAAAATTAGATGAACTTCTCTTCACAGTTGTTCCAATCATTACAAAATAAAATCCATCATTAACGAAACCAAAATGTCAGCTGTATAAATAAGCTTAACAGAATTTCTCATACAAAAGACAGCCCAATTGTTTAGCCCAAGCTGAAGCACACATACAATAACTATAAAAAAGCAACCGTCATTAGGTCTGCAACAAATAAATACAATACAGTATTTATTAGCAGACTTAGGTTATAACTTAAAGGAGTAAAAGCAGTGCTATTAGAGTATGTAAGTATGACATTTCAGGATATGAAGCCAAAACGTCAACATTCCCATGAAAACTTCTGTTTAAAGCTCATTCCACATTCATCACATCTCTTTCCCAGCTGAGTGCCATGGTGTCGGCAGCCCATCAGAGATGTTGGCATACAGTTCCTCTGCCTTAGGCTCAGTTTTAGACTTCTTGCCAGATTCGGGGAGAGCAGAGAGGGGGCCAGAGCTGGAGGGAGAGCAGCCCCAGAGGAGCCCAGCTGCAGCCTGGGAAACCAACCCTGGACCGGCTCTGGCCCACGCTCTCTAACCCCAGCCCCTCCCGGCTAATAACAACACTCAGTCTGGCTCTTTTCCACTGTCATTCTGCTGTGGACTTTTGGGGGAAATAAGTCAGCGGATGAACGGTTGACATGATATTAGTCTCCCTGCTGCACATTCCTCAAATACTTCCCACTGTTGATTTCCAAACACTCACACATGTTCATGTTCTCACACTCACAGAGAGGCAGGGGATTAGGTGTGAGCGCACACACACTCACTCACATTCATTCACATACATGCACATGCTGTGACACTCACCCCGGTAATGGAGGCTGTCATCGTGGTGGTGGTTGTACTGGTGATGGTTTTCTAAAGCGGGGGGGCTGCTGGCACCCAGTTCGGCCAGTCTGCGGCTGGTGGCGGAGAGCTCAGAGCGGAGGTTGGTCACTTCCTGACTGGCGGACTGGATGGCCCCATCAATCCTCTGAGCCAGATGTTTGTTGTCTTCCATCATTTTAAGAATTTTCCCCTGAGGACCAAATCCACACAGAGCAGCATGATGTCAAGTGGAGCATCAGAGGGGGTGAAGCTTCCTCCTCCTCTTATCCACCTCTCCTCCTCCACCTGTGCTTCTTCTCGTACAGTTAACTTCGCACATATAAAGAAGGAAAGCCAAAACGCCAGTCCCTCTTCTTCTGTTCTCCACTGAGCAGCACAGAGATGATGTCTACCTGTTACAGCACAAAGAATAACGTCTGTGTGGCCAAGCACCACACTGTCAGAAACGCATGTGTGTGAGAGATAGAGCGCGGGAAAAGAGAGGAAGAGAGAGCGTAAAGAGAGCAGAGGGAGAGAGAAAAAAGACAGAGGAGAAAGAGAGATTTAGCTCAGCGGGCGGAGGGGAAAGTGAGTGCTCCCGCAGAGGAGAATGTGCTGTGAGCAGCTGCTCTCAGAGAGGACCCAGCACACACTGAGATGACATGCAGCCTTTTAAATGGATTGTACCATGTGCTGGAGGACCAGGGGAGAGGGGGGGACGCAGTTGGACTGAGCGGCTTTCCAGTAACTCTCTAACTACAGAGAGTGTTGTGTATCACACACCCTATGGAGTCTGTAATGAGTTAGCAATCGAGTCTGTAATCGGGAAAAGAACAGATTGTTTCTCTTTACTTCTTCCTCTCTCCATGTCCCTGCACTCTGAGCTTGGCAGCCGTTTTGAACCCTTTGACAAGAACTCATCAAGCCCCCTATATCTTTTCAGTCCTGCTCCCACTCTCCCTTCCTCCCTCTCACTAACACACCCGCTGTCTTTTTGTCTCTCCCACCCCCTCTTTTTTCATTCCATTATATATTCATCTCTTTGTCCTGGGAAAGCTCACCCCCACATCAGTGGAAGGGGAAGGGGGCTGGCTCAAGGCGCCCAAGGGGAAAACATTTCAACTCAGAGAGCAAACTTAGCAGAGGACAGAGGCACAGCCCTCTAATGGGCTAAACAAAGAGGGGAGGCCCGGAGAATTACAATCGAGCTGTGGCGAGAACATAGTACAGCTTTACCACTTTGATCCAAAACTGTTGGAAGGATTCTGCTTATCTGAAGGCACTGAAAACAAACACTACCACTATGAAGTCTTATCTGTACAGCTGTAAAAATTCCATCACACGAACACAAAAAGGTTATAGAGACGGCGTAGGCCATTCATCTTAACTTAAAACAATTCCAGATATTGCTGAGCCATCACAACTTTCAATCTGCATTTGACATTTCATTTTCTAAAAAAACACATCCTGTCTCTGGCAAGAAACGGAGGCAGATGAGTGATACATCACTGGGAGGCTGTCATCCCGGGCTCGGGTGATAACGGCTCAATGCTCATTGGTATTCACACAATGGCAGGGAGAGACAAACAGAGATGGGACTGCAAGCGTGCGAGACTGACACAATGAGACACACAACTTGTTGGTTACACTGCTGGTTTGTTCACTGCTTTATGATGAAGTCCACACAGTGATGTTGTTACAGATCAGATCACGTCTACACTTATCAGACTGGGGCCTGTTAGTGCGGTCCCTTTTGGAGAATAATCCAACCGGCATGCCTTAACTTATCAGCTCCCTATAGTACATATTGTAGTGAATAAAGGTTGTGAGATATACTGTAGCAGTGTTTGCAGTGAAACATATCTATGAATAATTTCCCAATAACATTTCCGAACCATTACTATACAACAATGTATTTGCTAGAGCGATATAGAAAAATACATATTCTGTCCACGAGAAAGGGAATTGATATCCCCAAAAAGTTTAAAAAAGTCCATTATCGTGGCTGCATGGTTAAAACAAGAGCAATACATATCAATCACTCTTTCTCAGAGTCAGACGGTCACACACAGATAAGTGAATAGTATAAGCAAGCAACAATTGGTCCCCTCATTACACCTGAACTCAATTTGTAATTGTCAGAGATAATAAAACAGACGTTTATAATGTTTTTTTTATATCCAGAATATATGATACAAAAGTTCTCTGTACATTAAGACCAGGGAAACACAACCTAATTGTATTTTCTAAAATAACAAGTTTTCAAATTAGTAGTCTTGTTATTAGAGATAATTTTAAATGAAATAACATTGGAATTTATACAATTCATCAACACTTTGAAGATGTCATCCCTGTTTAATTGTGCTAGAAATGATGTGGACCAAAAATATTATCAAAAAAAGATTCATAAACCAACATTGACCTGTTGGTGGCACTACAAGAAAGATGAGAGAATCCCCAAACTGGAGGGATGACCAAATATCCTGGAAATCCATGGTTGTCCAGATATTTTCAGTCCGCTTGTTTTATCATCTGTCCTCTTCTTGTCTCTATCCTCTCTATTATAAAACCTTTCGGTTTATATAATCCCTGCTGTTCAACGTAAAACCGATGACAAGCAAACAATTATTTCAGTTACTCGAAAAGACACACTTCAGAAGTGGCATGTTGGATCATCACATCACATGTTAGCAGATCATTATCACCGTCTAGACAGACACGTCCCTGTCCGCGATTAGTGCACTGGCCCTGATTTGAGACTGATTAGCAAAGGACAAATGTAGCACGATGTGTAGCTCAGGGCGGGGAGGAGGGCCGTCTCCACGTCTCGCTAAACACAGAAGGGTCCCGTTATTCCAACTGGTTCTGTTAAACAATGTGACTGTTAAGTGTTCCTTCATATGAAACCACAACCACAGTCTGCTGTGAGCTATGCGAGTGCTTTCAAGCGCTCAACTGTGGAATGCGGGGAAATGAATGATTTTGGGGTCGAGGGTCGGGACATGTCCCAGATACACATCAATAACCAGATGGATACTTTGACGATGTCGAAGTCCTCTTCTGTCTTCACAACTCCAGTGAAAGCCTGTGTGGACAACAGACCAGTGCAGGAACTTGGTTTACTCTCTTAAATAACCAGTTCTCCCACCAGTGTTTCTATGGATCTGCTTCACTTTCCAAACTTGGCCGAGTGTTTGTGTTGTTTTCTTGTTTGATGCTTTTAAATGGGAAGTTTAATTAAGTGTGCCAAGGGTGTGCAGTTAAAAAGAGGTATTGATAAACAGTCACCATGACTGTCTGCCTGGGTTAATTGAATATCGACTAATCCTCTACACACTGGAATGCTTTCCATTTTTTCCCAATTGCAAAGTGATTTCGGGCCCTGATCAAGTATTTATACAGGTCCAATGAGGGGCCTGGGGAAAATATCCACTTCACTCTACTAGATTCGTAATGTCCATCAAATCCGATGAGTCAAATAAAGTTAAAATGCCTGTCAGGGTGTGAATATGTGTGAGGAGGAGATGTCTCATTAATATCTAGAACAAATAAATGTGTTAGGAGGTCTGTTATGTCACCCCATTGAAAATGAATGAAATAATAGTAAAACGCAGCTATAATAAAATATGTCTTCATAGGAGAAAGATTCATTTCTAACGAATGATGTGCATGTATAAACACTTTTAACATACATGTTGTATCTATCATGTAGTGTGTAATAAAAGGGAAAGGAAAAATGGAGGGGTCAAAGAAAAGTGTTTCCATGTAAGACACATACAGTGAGATAGAGTATGTCAAATACTCACTGTTTTTACAGATTTACCAATACCCTACACCTAATTAAACCTATTTTTGTGGATAAGCCTAACAAGCAGTAACAACAACATTGATTATTATCACCTTATAAAGTTAGTATTGCTAACAGTTGCAATTATGTCTGTAAATGCTCTTGTACAATCAAATATATTTAATGATTTCTAAATGAAACCTCATTTATGAAATGGAAATATCTAGGGTTCATTCCATGGTCAAATAATAACAGGCCTCTTCGCTTAATTGGCTCCAAGAATGGGAGAAATTCCTCCACTAGGAATGAGGCCCCTTCAACAGCCAAGGAGCATCTCTGGAGGGCTTATGCACACTGCCAACATTATGTCTGTTTATGTATCCCAGATAGATACTTGAGAAAGTATGTTGCAGCCTTTACATAAAGTAGAGCTGCTCTCAATCCAAAACGTCACAGGCGGGCGGCAGTTCTGAACCTCACAATCTTCAGTGTACTATGGTCTGAAGCAAAACAGCAGGTTTCAGGACATTTTATTCTGGAACTGAAATGGTCTTGGTACACAACATCAGAGAGAACAAGAGTTTTGATTTTTACTTGTAGGCAGGTATATTTGCACTGCATTTAGATTTTACTTTTGTATATTCACAAGCAGTGTAGTGTGTTTTTATGTGTATGAGTATGAGTAAGAAAATGGAAAAAAGTGCTGCATCAAAAGGACGAGAGGAACAAAGTGTCCTTTTAAAAGTTCGAAATTAAATAGTGTTTTTGTGGCGCTTCCTTGTGTTTTCTTTTGCCCACATTCGTGGCAAACAAGACACTTGAGACAAAATTGGCCGTTGTTAGTCGGATCGAAAATGGCACCGCTATCCCACAGCAATAAGGCAGCATGGACACGGGTGTACATCATCTTCAATGATGGTTGATTATTTTGTTTACTACAACATATGCAGATGTAAGACACAAAAAGATCATCAAGCATGCATTAGTTGACAGTGAGTAAACATAAAAAGCTATAGAAAGCTGACTTACTGTCACTTACAGTTCAATGCTTTGAGTCTTCTTAGCAGATTTATCAAAAGCGAATGTCACAGTTGGAGGAAATGGGTATTTATGTCTGTGCAAGTGACGGGGAGAGAAAGCATTTTGCCCCGAGTGGTGACACGGCAGGGACAGAGGGGCATTGATGGAGTAAACAGTGAATGGCAGGGAGCAGAAACTAAACTCTTGTCTCTTTGTCTGTGTGTCGCTTTTCCTTTCTGTCTCTTTCTCTTTTTCCAACTCCACCAGCTGACTTATTAGTTAGATAAGAACTTTTTTATGTTGTGGAAAATTTGACGTAATGGACTTTGTCTGTGTTTTATGAAGTGCAAATTATTTGTATTTGTTATTGACTAAAACAAATGCTGTTGCATGTTTTTGATGGT